TTCGATTTGAAAGTTTTCAGGTCGCTTCTCACGCTAGATTCGAAATAAATGTTTTCTTGGTAACGTAGCACGTCCGAGAAGGAAATCATAGAAGTTAGAGACATAGAGGAACAAGATCTCTCTTCGTCAGAATCTTCGAGTTCTCGCGGTTCCTCGCTCAGGTTTTTTTCCGACGAGAACCTTTTCATGAGCTTGCTTCTGTTAAACGAACAGAGCAGCTTCTTCAGCGATCTCTTCCGCGGCAGCCTCTTTCCGATGATAGGTATCCAATCGATGAAAGTGTTCTCGACGTTGATCGGTTTCTTCAGAAATGCCCCGACTACCCTTGGAGATGTATCGACATGTGAAGTTTCTGGCAACGTCGAATTATGCTCGCTTTTCAGGGACTCGTCGATCAAGGTACTCGTTGTTGGAAGAGAGTCGTTGTGTGTAGAAACAGTTTCATCCGGCGAAGTTACGTAGATATCGACTCTATTCGTCGTCTTCGTCTTGTCGGGAGAGGACCTTTTCGCCGACTCGGAAAGCTCGATCTTTCGCATCAGCTCTGGTCTTGTGAAGCAATTAGGGGGGCTCGAGGAATCGGAACTGGAATGCAAGAAAGTCGAGCAGATCTCCAGACCAGAAGATTTGCGACCGAATGCAGACAAGATCATCTTTGATTCCCTTAAGCGCTTCGGATCTTCTAACATTCTTAGTCTTCTCTGAAGTCTGTTATTGTCCCGCGACGTACGAGAAATTCTCTGCCTGGATGACAAGGCACCTCCGTCACATTCGTCAACGTCCCCGCTATTTGCATTCGAACGCGAGGAACCGCTTTTGAAAGGATTGCGAAGTATCCTCGATTTTCTTTTCCACGATTCCAGCATAGGAGCAGCTTTCGACTTATTTACTTCCAGACTTTCTGAAATCTCCTGCGCGGTCTTCGAATCGTTATAAATATTGTATTTCACTTCGAAAGCTTCGACGATCTTCTTGACGAAGTTCTTCTGCTTGTATTCGTCGGTTGCTTTCTCCTTTTTCGAAGGCGAGAGATAACCCTTCTCGAAATTGCGAATAATGCTCTCCAAATTCGGTATTTCTCGAGGTCCAAGCGTCGATTGAAAAATTGTCCGTGAAGTATCAATCTCGTGGCTATTACACGCTTCGCTTTTACGTGCAACTCTTATCATATCTCTAGTGGTTGCAGTATCGACTGGAACTTTATGCTTCCCCGCCGAATAATCCTCAAGCAAGTTAATCCAATCTCCCTTGACAAGCTCTAACCTGCCTATCTCGTTCTTTCGCTGTCTCCTCTCGTCCTCTTGCCACGCCTCGAACTATAACAGAATAAAAAAAAGAAAAGGTAAATTTGCAAATACAATTTCTTGCTCGTTATCAAGTATTCCGTTATTGGCAAAGTTTTTACAGATAAGAGGAAGGATGTTGTTGGTCGAACAACCAACCTCCCCGTTGCTTTTCACCACCGTGTTCTTGAAGTTATTCTTCCTCGTACCTCGTACTTGTTTCAGCAGTCCTGCGTATTTTAAGTTTCACCGAGTCTAAGGTCTACGTCGTTGTATGGACAATTACCACGATTCAACAGAATTAAATTCGCGTTAAGAATTCCGATTAGCTTCCAGACCGGTGACGCGGTTCACGCAATTGCACATTAAAATCACACTTTCGGCGTAAACTCGATGTCGAGAGCTTGAAATTTGACTGTTAAGTGAAGGTCCAACGAGTAACACAGTATATTTATAGCTTCGTGAACATGGGGAGTAGGTAAAAATCGGTACTGTTTACCTGGCGGTACTTGTCCCGGCGGTACTTATCCTAGCGGTACTTATCCTGGTAGAAGGGAGGGATGAAGTTGGATTTATAATTAGGGTCAAATCGAGGCCCGGTATATTTCGAAACTTTCTACCAACGATTAATTTCTATATAACTCATAATATTTATATTTGGATAATTTAATTAGCTTTCGCCGCTTAATTCTTTTATCCTAAAACGATTCAAAATATACCCCTAAGCGGTATAAAATCGATACTCGGTAGCAATGCAAAAAATAATATTCCGACCTCGTTTTTTCGTTTTTCCACTTTTTCCACTTCATTTTTTCACTGCGCCATAGAGCTCGCATGGTAATTGAATTGAGACACGCGGTGGAAGTCACAGAGAAAAAGCGCGTGGACGTGCAACCAGCATCGATGATTAATTGCTCGTCGTTCTTGAAAATTCCTACCTACGCGGATTCGAAAAATAAAGGAACGCGGGAATACGTGGAAATAGAGATAACGCGAACTAGATGTTCCTCGTTGTACGAATCGCGATATATTCGATGTATAACGAAGAGATAATTGGATATAATGAAGATCACACCGATTAAGAAAATCAACACGAACATCTTTTGTTTAATCAATGAAATTGTTGTTTGTACGGCCAAGGATCGGGCGTATTGTTCGCCGCACTGTTTCTCCTCTGTGTACACAATTCCCATCGTTCTCGCGATATAGATTTTCCATTTATTAAAGCAGGATCATGCAAATTTATCGGGCGATTGGCGAATGGAAATTTCGGTATCAGTAGGACGCGACTCGACCGTTCCCATTCCTGAGGTCCAGCTTGCTCATTCGACCCCTTTAACGACCATACCTGCCAGAAATAAGCTTCCTTGCAGGAACGACGAGAAACAAAACAATATTCCGGGATCTTCCAACGGGACAATATATCGTCCTCGCTAGGAAATATCGGTACAACTACCTGCCACCGTAATCGATTGGCATTCGACAGAACGGTTTTACCGATCCCCTGTGCGCGTATCGATACCGAATACCCATCAGGGATTAAAATGAATCGAGGAGAATTTCAAACGAGGGAATTCCGTTGACTCGTTTGTTCGTTCGGTATTAAATATTACGCTCGGCAGAGACACCGATCGATACTAGGAAATCCGACAAATTGTACGGAGGAAGGTGAAACAATTGCAATTAAAACCAATTTCTCTCGTCGTCTTTCAATATTTGAAAACCACCGACGCGTCTCATCCTCGTAGACGGACGATTACCATTCTGCAGACTAATCGAATTCTAGGATATTAATCGCGTTGCGGAAAACGACGCCCGGTTAGTGGTGCGAGTAAACGTAAAACACGCCGTAGCCGTAAATAAGCAGAGCGTTTCAGAAATTTCACGAACGCGTATTAAATCGAATAACGCGAATATCATACGTTGACCTTAATTATTTAGTTAGTCGCGTACAGTAAAATTTATAATTACCATTCGACTAGATCGGATATGATAAAATAATATTTGAAATTTTCAAAATATCCACCGTATTGTTGCCGTTAAGTCGCGAACGATTACTTTGCGAGTTTTGCGCAGATATCTACCAAAGAAAAACCCGATAATTCAACGAACAAGGTTTTCTCCGCTTTCCTTTTGCGCAAAAGCAATTAAAATATCGATGCTTGTATCGCTTAATGGGTATTGCGTTGCGATATAAAAATTTGTCCTATCACCGCTGAGAGAAATTGTTACGTGCGGGCGAGCCTGAACGAAGAAATGGAATTTAGCAGTCGATTAAATATCAATGGAGGGGAAAAGGATGACCGATAGGATCGTGAGCCACGACGAAGATTACGATATTTCTGTATTCAGCTGGGTCGCGGCAAATCAGGATATCGATACGATTTGCTTGTATCTATCAGTTCGCATTTAATATCACGTTGCGCTAATTGCCCATGGAAATTAAATACGCGAGACAAACGGATACGCGGCTACAGGGAAAGAGGGAAATTGGATTTCTCGTAAACTCGCGCAACGATTAGTGCAAGCTCTTCTAATTTTCTCGTTTCTTTGCACGATCGACAATTAGAGAAAGTTACTGTAGTTGCGACGTTACAATTTTCCCGTAGTCGATGTAATCCTCGGCGAGAAGCTTCCGATCCGATCCAATCTTCTCGATGAAGCGTGAATTAACGCGATACAATTCTTTCGGTATTAACGAGACGGCTACAAGAAATTTACAAGGCGAACAAAAAAGTCAAGTTGATAGAGCGTTTGAAATATTTGCAAAGTGTACACGGTGAACGAAACAAAGTGCTACAAATTCTTAGGAACTACCGTGAATATGCGTTTCTTATGAATTTTCCACTTACTTTAGGTAGGTTTCCCGCTTGTTCTTAAATCTAACGAACGACGAATTTGTATTCCTTACGAACAAGAAGATAGTAATTTCCACGAGGAAACACCCTTCGTACCGTTTACCTACAGGTAAAGTAAGACAGGTAAAACTGAAAGTAGGATGCGCACCACCGATTTATATTTATTGCCGAGTATGCTGTTTGGATTTATGGTATTCGTTATTTTTATCGTCGCATCACCGCTGTCTTTGTATTAGAATTAGGCAGAAAGGCACGTATACCTGACACATTGTATAGAAACTACCCAATCCTTTCAATCCGTTTGCTTCAACTCAACATCCACACAATTCCAGTAAATGCAATAGTAAATGTTTAGTCTGAACGTGTATTCGTTTTACGAATAAAATTTACCGATGATAATAAATTCAACAACGAGGGGAAATTCAAGAATCAAAGAACGTTGGACGCGCTATCGTTGAAAGGCAACTCGATACGAAGAAGCACCTCTGTGAAATTATTACTTCCATCTTGCAACGAAAAAACAAATGCCGATCGCGTAATCCTTAGCCGATTCGATAGAGGGGAAGCATTTTCTCTCCAATTTCGCTTCGGTTCGTCCCATCTGTTTATGTCAGAAATTTAGCTGTAAAGAAATCCGATTGAAGCGACGTAATTAGAATACGACAGGTTCAGCTCGCGATTATTCGTACCGATCAAAGCCAGTTACACGACGATCAGTATCAGAAACTGTGTTACGGACTGCCTACCGCTTAACTCCTTATCCTTTCTCGAATTTGTCGAATCTGCTTCGAGCCGCGTTACGTGCAACGTTCTTCGATTTTACGGAGAACTTAACTTATCGATGATTTCGTTCACGCAGGATCGAATCGCGCCATCGGCTACAGTTTTCCCAGGTCGCCCGGAAAACGACGAGAAACGCAACGAGTCTTGACAAGGATAAAGCTTCCGTCGAGGAAAGTTAACGGGACAACGTACGATTCTGATCCTGCTAAACCATCTCCTGTAAAATTAACGCGATTGATAACCAAGCCTACGCATATAGACTTGTTTCCAAATAATTTGAAACATTTTATTGCATTTTTCATTGCCAATTCGATTGTGCTGATCGTTGTTAACCTTTCGAACGAATAAATAAATCGATAAATAAATATTCCGCTTATGTTTTAGGATTTCTCTGTTGGATTTAAATTTTCCTCTAGAAATATTCTTTCCCATTCGGCGTACGTTGTAAGATATTTGCGATAATGAGTTGGGATTAGACACTCTCTATATATCTTTCTCGAATATATCAACAGCGATAGATACCGTTTAGCCCACGTATACGCACAGTATAATCTTTTTTATTAAGCTGTTTTCACGAATGCTCGGTCGCCTAGAAATTTCAGAAATACCAAGAAGAACCGTACGTAGTAAGTAGCATTGTTGCGAACAGCTGTCAACGACCTTCGTTTTTAATTACGGTAGTAGATACGAATTTTACGACAGATCAGAATTAATTACACTCGGACAGTTTTAAAAAGCACAGTTTTAAAAGTCACAATGCAAGAATGACATGACACGAACATGACAATCTACGTTTATTACTATAATATCCACCTAGTCGAGGTTCCATTGTTGAAAAATAGGTAGAGCTCGTCCGTACCTTTTGCCTGCTCATCCTAATCACGCCAGGCTTTTGTATCACGCTTCCTGTTTCGCACCTCCCACGAAAGACTCCAGCCAACCGACGAACGCTTGTCGGTGCTCGAAAGAAAATTCGAGCAAAAATCACCGTCTAAATACGTGATTGACGCGAATGCATTTCATAAAAGAAAAATGGAATTTCAGAGCTGACTCGTTGACAAAGTGGCGAATTCGCCATAGTGCTGACCTTTGACCTAGTTCTTTGTCCCCGGAAACGTTTGCGTGGGTGGAATACGACGAAGATAAAACAGTCTCGGGTAAAGAAAATCAGTCGTTTTGGCGCCAAACGCATCGATTTTCAAGAAATCCCGGGAACTTTCCATGCATCAACCATGAGGCCATATCAGATCTCTAGTCCCGACGATCTTCCCGCTTGATCGGAAGCTGATCAAAACGTTTCCCGAATACACGACGCTTCCGATTTCCCAACGGTTCCTTTTTCCCTCCACGGGACACTTTATTTTATTTCTATTATCTATTTATTTAATTTATTCGCGATACGTTAACCGCGATCGGTCTTTTCCGATTCATTCCTGAATCTCTTTGTCGCATACCGTAGCTATCAGAAGTTTCAATAATTCAAAGATAGTTAGTATCGTTGTAAATAATTTATCGCTTATCAAGCAAATAATGCAAATTTCACCGCACGTGCCTCTAAACTCTGACGTACTATTTTACGCTGCAGTAAAATTACGGAATAATTGTCTGTACGTGCATGCGGCTAAAGTATTTATAATTCTACCGACGAATCTATCAGCAAGCGTAGATCCACCAAATCGATTCCAATAATTTTCTTCTTAAAATGCGGAACGAGCGATATTAAATATTATACGTTATTTGTTATTTTAAACATTAATATTTAATGATATTTAAATATCGCGAATAAATACGTGACCAGAGCGGAGATATTAAAAAGCTGTCATTGTGCGAAGCATTTTAAATCGTGGCAAATTGACCTTGGCTGCGTCCCTCCGTCCGTTACCTGCCCTTTAAGCGAGCTGCTCGCTCTAACGATTCGATAAAAATTTATTACACTCGCATTCGTGCATCGCTGATCCAGGGCCAATTCCGCGAGTATTTTATTTCAATCGTCGTCTACGGATGTCGCGTGTGTTCATCGTGTTCCGTTGGATAAGATGGACAATATCGCCGAAGAAGAATCATTCGAGAGGGATTTACTTTCAAACAAACGAGAAGAAAAGTCGTGCTCTTGTTCGTCGCTATCCGATTTTCAGAAGTCGATGGATCTCGAGTTCGAAGATTCTTTCTTCGATGTGAGAAAATCCACGGATTTTTTATCCACGAAGATTATGGATAAAAAGCTGGGCACGACGAGCTCGGGGATTGGCTGTCGCTTCTTGGACGAGGAAAAAACGAAGAAGACAAAGTGTCGTCGTCGAGAAACGGTGGAGCATACGTTGGAACGCAAGAAAAGATCGTTCAACAGGAAGCCCCGCTAAATGATCATGCAAAGAGGAGTCTGCAACTTTTCTTGCTGATATTCGGGGTTATCCTTCCTCCTCGAACTCGTTTCCACCTTTGGTCAACCAAAGAGTGTGTTCGACACCCGTCCGCGCAAATTACGAAGACCGATTTATGCGAGAGACTTTCGCTAAACGCGAAAAACAATAGGATCGTTGTTCGCAGGAAAGCGGCTTCGGTCGGCGGCGCGACTTGCGAGGGATTCTCCAGGGAAATTTCAAAGACCTAGGCAGTCTCGAGGCAACTGACCAACGATAAATTATCTTCGTTCGTTCGACTGCTCTATTTTACAGATCCAACTCGAACGACCGAGTGGTCCAGAGTTTGTTCGTTCTTTCGACCGTCTCACGCACCTCTCGAAGAACGCGAAACGCAGCAAGAAATCCGTAGCGCGGACTCTGCGACAAAGTTTTCTCGAGAAGCATCTATTACGCGGAGAAATAAAAATTCACGAGACACCAAATGCATTCTCAGTTACGTAACATCATCGGCCGATCGTGGAATAATCTAGCAGAGAAACCAGATTACGAATATCGAAGTCGACCGACGAATCGATCCACGATGATTCTTTCTTCCAGTAGTTTCAAGGATTTCGACTACCACAGCTCGCGATACTCCAATGTTTCGTGGAACGAGAGCTGAACGTGTCAGCGGAAAAAAGCAACGCTGAAAACACGAATGTACAACAGCTTCGTAACAACAGAGTAAAGAGAGCAGATGTTTCGATAGATTTTAATAGTTCTTACGTTACCACGACGTACGTTTAATCAGGACATACTCGAGAGATTAGGTTGGTTAAAACGTTTATCGCCAAGTTGCGCGTTTGACTTGGTGCACGCTGTCTAGATTAAGAAACGTTCGAATAATTTGGCGAAACCAAATCTGTTCGACGATCTCTGGCGAATGTAATGCAAGTATTTGAAAAGAAAGATTTTTTATTTATTTATTTATTTATATTTTACAATCTGTCCAGTAGGACATTTGGTAAAATATTATAGCTTAGTGGTATAATAATATAACATGTGGATGGCTACCCCCAGTGGGATACCATCTTCGAATTTGATTGATTTATGAAAAGAAAGATGGAGAGAGTGGAGTATTTGGGGACTTTACCTCGATACTCGTCCCGTCGTTCGAAAAGTGTAAATTAACTCGCCGAATCAATATTTAACGTCTTCCGCTGGATCTTAACGCGTAGCCGATGACGAATCAATTTTCCGAAATCTTATATTTAGGAGACGCGAGAAATTGTTATTTCATGGCCGCGGAGCGTTGTTGCTAGTAAAAAAAGGTTTAATCGATAGAGGAGGGCTCATCGTGCCGTTGAAAAATATATCTCTGATTAAAATCTAATCGATCTTTTAGCCGATACCCACGCTTCGACGATGTCCGTATCATTTCGTTCGTATGCATCGATTCACGAGGATGTGTGCGATATTTTGCGTGATTAAACAGACATTAAACTGCGGACGTTTATGGATGTACGAAAAATAAATAAAAAAAAAACTCGAGATTCTACGAAATATTCGGAACAAAGCGCTCGCTCTAATGTCCAGCGAGTGAAATGAATCTCCATTTAGATCCCATTAATTTCTTTAATTGCAAAAATATGAATTTACGTAAAGACCCGCAGACTAGTAATAACGAAAATAGCTACAAATATGTTTTATCTCTAAAGTGCAATGCGTTTCAGCGGAACAAATTGGATCGTGGCAATTAATCAATCGCAACGTGCGCCCTTTGTAATGTAATCGTATAATTATATCCAGAATGAAGAGCGCGAGTGTTTCAGGCATACCAGGCAGGTTACCTCCAGGCGAAATAATTCTACCGGCGATTTAACGAAAGGAGGTTAATTGCAAAATTATGTGAGAGTACCGAATCGCAGGTAGCGTCTTCGCAAGAATATCGAAGACCAGTCGTTTCTGTGGAACGACGTGGTCTGACGTCGAAGTATACGATATATAAAACGCTGTATTCCGCGTGCGCTCTCGATATATATTCATATAAAAAAAAAAATATTTATCTCATAACTCGATCATTTCTCATCCGTTTTCATGCTGAGCGAGTCGCTAGTCAAATTTTCGTAATTTCCGATGTAATTCGATAACGAGCCTCGCAACTTCCATTCTGACGTAACTTCGTTTTCGTACCAACGTTCGACCGATGTTTGTTCGCATTGAGTTTAAAATGGAAATAAAGACGTAAAACTCTGAAATGTTGTTGGAATTTGGCCTTTTTCTCTGCCTTCGCCCGCTTTTTCGCAATTGCAACGCTAATACGAGTGTCACGAAAGTTAAATTAGCAAACTTAGCTCCAAACATTCAATCGACTCCGACGATTCTCAATTAATTTCGACTTGCACAGAGCCGCAAGGTTATTTCTGCGTGGAAGCAATTACGGGACGAAAGAACTTTGGATTTACTACTCGCATCGGTGGAAAAAGAACGAACACTTTGCGACACGCGTCGAGCCAAAGAATCGCTTCCTATTCATTACATGTACCGACGTCCAGCGTGAGACATCGAGAAAAACGAGGAACGTCTGCTCGAAAGCGCACGTAACCGTAGCGGAAGTTCCAACCATCGAATTCAAGTACCACGAATGCTTTTTCGGATCTCTCTTTCCCCTCCAGGGGAAGATGTAGCCGCGCGTACAATTTGCATGATCGCGTCCTCGGATCATCGGTTCCTTCGATAAGTGGACAAGCATCCATTCGATCGAACAGTTTCTCGGGCATCGAGAAAATAACGTTTCTCGATCGTGCTATTTCTATAGCGGCACGGTCCGTTGCACATTCGCATAGTTAGTCGACCTAGAAACGAATTTCGCTCTGTTCCTTTGTATATATCGTATTTAGTTCGCGATTAATTCTAGAATCGTAGAATATCGAACTGTTCGGCAACGTTGAGCCGATTAAAATAGAAACTTTTTCTCGTTGAGATGACGCTTATTTTCGTAT